GGGGCGGCTTGTTTTACAACGTCGTTGCCAAGCGACGAAAACCCAATCCCGATGGCAATCACCGGGAGGGGCGGCTTGTTTTACAACGTCGTTGCCAAGCGACGAAAACCCAACCCCGATGGTAAACACCGGGGGGGGGGAAGGAGGGGGGGGGGTGTTCGAGTCAGACAGTGGCGCCATCAGAGGCGATGGGATTGGGCGTGATCGATCGCATATTCAACGCAATGAATGCTGCACCAACACCAACAGACTCATTGTGCATCAGCGGCAACCTGGAAATGATGCGCAAACAAGGTATTTGTGGTCCCGGAATAAGGTCGGTAGGTGGCGAGCTCCTTGAACCAGCACTGTACATCTGTACAGCAGTATCACGCGATTTCACTGGCACTATTCAGGGACCATTTTTCTACTGCAACAGCAGTCGTACGTACCGAGGGGTATCGTAGGTCGACGTTGATGATCCGTCTGTAGGTGGCGCTGTGTCCCTGAGCATCGAAAGGCGGGTTACCCACAAGGAGCTCGTACATGAGCACTCCCAGGGCCCAGATGTCGACTGCCTCATTGTGCTCCTGCCAAGGGTCAAGGGTCAAGGGTCAAGGGTCGAGATCAACAGACAGAAAGAGCGTGTGAGGAACATACTTGAGCTGGGCTGGGCTAGCTTTGCCCGCCCGGCGCATTGCCACCGACTACGGAGCAGGAAGCTAAAAGGGTCCATGGGCCGAAAGCGATAGAGGTATGCATTCGGCAATCGCAGCCAGCCGGACGTGCCGTCGCGTGCAGCGACACTCACTCAGATGATTTCAAAAAAATATGAAACACCACCACAGGATTTCACCCCGACACAAGCAAGAGTTCCGCGAATGGCGCGAAAATACCCAGCCTCACACCCGATGCTACACCAGTCGGAATCAAGCGTGTTTGGGTCATCCTTGCGATGGCTGTTCTTCATAAACGTTATCCGACCCCCCCCCAACCTCTTTTGTCATGGTGCAGCTTCACGCTGTCAATTTTGATTGGTCATCTGGAACAGCTTTCCGCCATTTCCGACTTGTACACAACTATTTGTATATATGTATACGTACTGCCAAGACTTGGGCGGATGTGTTGAAATTACATTCCTCAAGGGAGCTAGCTAATCGGGTATTAAACCAAATAGAGCAGTATTCCTTGTTTCTCGTGGCGGTACAACGCTGACCAGACTCCGAAATCAGAAGGGTGTGAGGTGTAAGACACGAGGCATTATGCAGGACGTGCCGGTACAGCATAAACCACAAGTACATGTTTAAATTTCATACACCTTTTTTTGGGTAAGTTAGCCTGTGATCACCGGAATGGATCCCATCAAGTGTTAGAGTAGCACGGACAGCGTAGGTACTGGGCAGAAAGAAGGGAACGGTTTTTATTGTGAAGACAACAACAACAACATATTGTACACCTCGCCCCATGTCTCGTCATAATACAGACTGAGGTGTGACAGCAACCATTCAATTTGGGAAGAACGGACGCGACATTTTACATTGTCCTTGCCGCATGGTTTGACTTGCCTTCCCCTCCACCATCTCCGGGGGCAGATAGTCGAGGGTGCCGCAGAACGTCTGGCGCCTATTGGACGGGGCGTGCACCGACCACCCGAAGTCCGCGATCTTCAACTGTGACGTACAAATGGGGCACAGCAGACAAGAAGACAGAGATTGGGGGTAAGTACTATGTACGTCCAATTGTGCTTGCTCGGTGACGATCTGAGTGGAACAGAACGGGCTACCTTCAACCAAGCAGCACCCGACAATGAGCAGCCGGATAGTCTCCCTATGACGATAGACGGGTCACCACCGATCCCACCGCCTCCATCCCCCCCTCTCTACCACCAATCGGAACACCACCGCGTCCGCATATCCTCAGCAGAACGGCAATGGAACATGATTGAGACTGATCTCGACGCAGAGGTCGAGAATGACAATGTTTGGTAATGGTAATCTAGTAGCACGTTGTGCCAGCAAGGCCAACCACACAGACGAACCACTGAAAGACGCGGCTGCTTCTGAGACAATCCGCCAAGGCCACCACAACCTGTCAGCAGTACCCCCTCAAACGAACACCACAAACAACACTGAATGTATGGGGCTCTCCGTTGGGAGGACCGAGCGTTCGAGGTCTCCTTTGAAACTCACTTAACCACAACCGATAACATCGGAGAGAGAGAGAGGGAGCCGGTTCACCAACCCATACAAGAAGACACGGAAGAGTGAGGAAAGCACAACAAGAAGGAGGCAGAAAAGGAACACAAATGCAATATCAAAGAATCGAACCCACCTCTCCGTTATGACCGACCAGCAGGTTCTCAGGCTTGATGTCACGGTGGATGACGTGCTTGGAGTGGCAGTAGCTCAGGGCGTCCGCGACCTCTTTGACGTACTGGGCTGCGCGCCGCTCCCTGGGAAAATTCGAGACAACGTGCGAGGAGCGTTTGGATTTTGTCATCGCCGTCCAAATAACGAGGCAGGCGCCTTGGCTGATTGAACCTGCGGCAGCTACTCATATGCATACACATACTTGATTCAGACGACTACCGTGACTACCCTAGGTTGTTTCGCATGTGGATGTAGAGTAGAGACGTTTCAGTGATCTCGTAGGGCTTCCTTCGAGTCCGAGGGATCGTACACAACTGCGTTGACAAGGTTGCGAGGAGATCCCGTTTTCCTGCATGTGGTGTACTTATGTATGGTGGAGTCCTTGCGGTACGGTCTCGGCGAAGAAAAGCCATGCTAAGCTATAGTGGAAAGCCCAGTCTCTGTTGACACTATTATTATCGATTTGAGACTACATTGCGAGAGCGAATCTCGGCGGCGATCAATATTATAGGTAGAGTGAAAAATGTGTTCTGCGGTACGAAAAGTCATTTTTGCACCACGACCGACACGACTGTTTCAGGAATTCAACCCAACGCATATTATCATGTGGCCGGATAGTCTTTACCATCGTGCAGTTTCACCGGTCAGGGATGGGGATAATGTAAGCAGCGCTCACCCGAAGCAGCCAGCCTCAACTAGGGAGTTGTAAAGCTCGCCCCCACTCGCCAGCTCGAGGATGAGGTAGATTCTCTTGTGGTCGTAGAAGAACCCGAGCCTGAGTGAGACAATCAAAAGGTTGCATCGAGATGCCCGCAACGATTAGTGATGTTTTCGTCGTTGAGTCCTCACAAGAAGTTACGGGAAATGCGTGTATGGATGGATGGATGTATCGCATTGATTTTTCTTTGATGGTCGAAGAGGACCTCCGTTTTTGACAGCAGAAAATGCTTCGGAGACTCATGAGTTTGTGTTGGGCAGTTCAGCTATCTCACTTGCGTGGGGAGTCGGACATCGATGTGGTCACCATGTTTGCAACGTACGGAAACAGCAAATGTCATTCTGTGTGATCAAAAGCTTTCCATGAGCATACATACGCCCGGCATCCCCAAGTTTCAACGGGGTCGTGTCGTGTCTGTCATGTCCAAGGTACATCGACTGGAACCGCAGTTCGAACTCAAAGTTCGTACTGCACGGTAGGAAGCTCACAAACTATAGGAGAAGGGCGAAGAACAAACAACGTAACGTGATTAGATCGATTGAAATCACCACGTGCTACTCTGACACTCACATACGAAGGATATTGCGGTGTCGGAGGTGCGATTGAATCTCGATCTCCCGTCGCAGCTGGTGCTCCACGCCGGACTTGGACAGCTGCTTCTTCTGCAGAACCTGCAATATTTGCAGTTCAAAAATACGTGTTCGGTAGATATATAAAAGCAGACGAGGGCATCATGCAGACACACCCATTCCCGATTGAAGCTACAGTAATTCGTGCACACACATCTTCTTGTTCCAAACCAGTAGACATTGGAAAGGTGATCGGCAGACATCACATAGCAGACGCACATATGATGTTGCTATGCAAAACGAAGCCAACGTTCGTACAACATTCGTGTGTTAGCGGCATCATGCATTAGACACACGAAACAATCGGTACCTACGTCTGACGGAGTGCCGGCGACACCATGAATATTGGAGAGACTGCGGGGTGGTCATGATAAAAGGTCGTGGTATCCTGGTCATACTACTACAGAAACACAGGTGACATACGTGTAGCGTAGAGACCCTTAACCTTGCTCGTGTAACGATACAGTAACGATTGACAAAGTGCCGGGACTCAATGCTCTCCTCCCGCCAATGACAAATACACAACTTCAATGGAAGCAAACCGGCCTGAACACCTGGATGTTTCAACATTTGAGGAATAACTGGCGGTACGGCATCAGAACTCCGGAACAGAATAGCAACAAGCTAGGATACAACACCCGTCTCATCGATCGTTTGACTAGGCAGGCGCAGGTCACAAGTTGTTGTTGTTTTTCTCCCATGATTGAACTCTGTCGTCTGCCCCTCTAGCCCCTATCCTCCACTTCTACCAGCTAGACGCCCCAACCGGGGTCACATAGGCCTGACTTATATTTTCGCGAGAAGGGTGCAGCAATCCCTTTTCCCTCGCGACTCATGAAGTCGGTCAAGTTTACCAACAACGAGCTTTGCAGCGTGTCGCTTCCAATGGAGACCAGGATTTAATTAGAGAGAAAATTGCACTCTGTCGGGACTCGAACCCACGACCTGGCCCTTAGCAGGCTGCGAGGCTAACCACTACACCACCGGGGCGACCGGTCTCAAGTATTGAGTCCTGAATGCCGTGGAAGGCGGCTTTACCTGTACCGAAAAAATCTTAGTCGTGCCGTTCGGTCGGGAAGGCGTCTCATCTATCTCATCGTCGAAAACCGTAATCGAAAATATGAGGCGTCAACAGCTACGAAGACACCGACAAAGAAGTTACCTCGAAGCCACCAGCATCAACAACGACGACCACCCCCGCCCCCCCCACCCCCCCGCAAAAACAAAGAAGGCAAACGGTGCCCACCTTGATGGCTGTGACATAGCCGGAAGTCTTCTCCCTGGCAAGGTACACCCTGCCGAACTTTCCTTGTCCAAGGCGCCGCCCGATCTCGAAGTCTTCCAGAGACCACCCCCGTCGAGGGGACCCCCCACCAGCACCCACGGGACCTCCCCCAACAGGCTTCATCTGAGCATGTGACAGCAAACAAGAGACGTTTGACAAGAACCAAGTCACAACTACATAGGGTCTGTGGAAACGGCGGCGGCTGTTTCATCGCATATGATATGGTTGTCGAAAGAAGCGGGAGATACACTTTTCACCTCTCTGCATGCGTGCTTTTTCAACCGTGAGACTTTCGAGAGGAAAACTTCCGGTGCGCAACACAAGACAGGGTGGCAGAAGCAAGTGGCAGCATTCCTGTTGTGTAGAAAAAGACGAGGTGTGCTGCTGCTGTTGTTCATGTTTTGCCTCCAAGGAAGCATGGACAGCTCTATTCGGCCTACCTATGACAATAGAAGCTAGATCATAATTTTTTCGGGGCAAAGTACGTTCAGCGCATGCACACGCTTCCTACACACGTGTGTGTTCATCCGCTAACTCGGGATAATACCGCTGGTGGTAGGTCCATGTATGTACTACCACCACCAGCGCATACGTTCTCCAACCGGCAATCAGTACTGTACTGCAAGCCAATTCTCCCACACTGCTACTGCCGTGTAGCTGGATATCCCGCGCTTCCTAGCTTATGCATTCGACACTGCGGTACGGTGACCAAGATCGGTGGAAACGATTACATGGTCAAGAATTACGGTACTGCTGCACAAATCGCTCACAGCGGCGCTACAAAAGCGTCAACAGCAGACGAAATGTGGTATTGAAAGATGCCACATGCATGATAGCAGCACTTCCAAGAGCTGCTGTACTGCGCACATGTGTGTGATAGGATAATAGGTGTCTTCGTCCGTGCACCTCCCTCGAAAAAAACAACGAAACTAAACGGTCGTGCGCGTACATTTGGGGTCTCCAGGAATTCGCAATGTACAGGAGATGTGTGCTGCATGCTGCTGTCGACAAGTGCGCCCAAACACCCGACATGGCGAGGGCAAGCCGGAGGAGCTTGGTCCCACTCAGGGTAAGCACACACCGGGAGCACGAAATGATCGAAAACCACGCATCACGTCAACACAGCACGGCCGCGGCGACGTGGCTTTCCAGCTTTCCAGCAACAAGTGTCTGACACGCAACACAGCGATATTTTTTGGCGGGAAGGTGCCCTACAGGCACCGAGCAGCGCTCCAACGGGTGGCATGATTTCGGAGAGAGTCCTTGCTACCGAGGTGTAACCCCGACAAGTGGTTTACACGCTTGCCCACCAATGGCAGCAATGGACTTGTTGAGAATCTCACCACAGCTGTAGCCATCACGATCGTTGAAGAAAAAGGTTCGCTCGCTCTCCCTCGCTCGCTCGCTGCCTGCTTCCCTCGTGGTGTTTTTTCTCGAAGCACCTGTCGTCAACTAGCGCGCGTCCCAGCTTCCTTGCTGTTTCCTCTTCGATCCGGACCGCGACTGATGACGCAGTATCTTTCCCTTGGGTCCCCCTGTGCCTTCAACGATAGCTTGTGGTATGTCCTGCTGGGTGTGATGTGACACTGGCGACAGAGGAGCGGGCGAGAAATCCTCCAACGGCGGTGCGAGGTTACGCCGCATTGATCGAATCTTCGAAGAACCAAAACAATTTTGTTTGGGAGATCGGGTACCGACCACCCCGCAAAGGCGGTAACAACGGGTCCGTTTCGCCGTCCCCCACACCGCCGGTGCTGCTGCTGCTGCTCGATTTCCTCCCCCAAAGATAGACTGGAACAGCACGCGAGGAAGGCCGCAGGGTGCAGCGGAAGTGTGTTTAGAGGTCTCCTAGCTCCATAGGGAATAGCGTGGGGGAAAAAGCGCGCCCCCGAGTTGTCCATGGGGCTGCTGGTGCACCAACAGGATCAGCAGGAGCATCAGCGGATACGCTCGGCGACTAGCAGCGTGATCCAAGCCCTAGAAGCGGTGGATGCCTCAGCAACCGCGGGCTCGCAGCGGGAGCGAGAAAAGAGTTGGATCCGAGAGAGACTTGCCAAGAAGAGATCGTTGGCGGAGTGCGAGCGTGAAGGGCAAGATATGCAGCAGCAGCAGCAGCAGCAGCACGAGCACCAACGGTCGTCGCCAACAGCATCGCGACAGCAGCAGCAGCAGCAGCAGCAGGGTGATGGCATAGCGGTGAGAGGTCATATTTTGAATACTTCCCGAGATATCGTCACCCCAAGATTGCTATACTACTGTATCCTGCTTGCCCGCCTCTCCTGTGCTGATGATGGGTGAAGGTGAAGGATGGCCTGTAGTTGTCGTGGGCTGCATGCGGTACTGTTGACAGACCTCGGCATGAATAAAGAAAGCGTCGAGAGAGCGGCAGCTTGACGTGACGTTCAAGGGCAGATTTGGAAAGATGAAGAGGGACCGACACCGACTCACTCAGCAGAGAACGCAGTCAAAACGGCGACATACACAAGAGGTTTCTAGGAAAGCTAGCGCTCCGTCTACAAACTCAGGTCCCACCATCATGAATCGGTTGCAGCACTCTCGACTTACACCAGTTCCAAGCACCGCTACGTTTCGAAAGACAGTTCGTAACAACTCGAAGGCACCGAGACTAAACCGTTCCGTGTGTACGGTACTCTGTTGCATCGGGTAGGACCGAACACTGTCACTGCTGTTGTTGCCATCGACATGTATGGATGGTTGGTTGCGCTGTTGCGGTGGAGTATTGCGAGAGTTCCAAATAAGAGACCATGCTGTGTGCTGTGCTTTTTTGTCCTCCCTAGCGGAGCCGCACCACCGTACGTAAAAGTGCAATGCAGTCTTCGCGTAGTCTATAACCAATCCTTGAGTTTCCCATCGAAGCCGTGCCTTTTTCAGGAGGAATACGGGGTCCGTGACCCCCGCGCTGATCCAGATGTGTGTTGTCATGCCCCCCGGTAACGTGCACTGCATATCCGACGTAAGTGTAGTTTATTTTACCTTTCAATATACACAAACGTGCCACATGCACGCCTGAATGCTACATGAAATCAGATTGTTCTTGCGCTATTAGACTACTGTTGTAGAAAGCAGACCCCCCAATAGGTATCTGTTCTTCGCGTTGGATGATTCATGGACATGCGAAACCGAGCCGTACTGATGGCGTTGTACAGTATACGCCTCTACTATGCCAACCATAGCTCACAGCGAATGCTGACTACGGGGTATCTACCTGCTTGCTACTTGTACATGCTGTATTTGCGATTCATCATACACGGTTGATACCAACAGTGATGCGCGAATGCCACACCGAAATACACCTGAATGCCCCAACCAAAGCAGGACCAAGACCCTGTAAGCTTGCTGGGGGTGCTACAGCTCCGACGTATTGTGCGTGCGTTGGGCTTGCCAACGACCGGGCTAAGGCCGGAGCTTGCCCGAAGGGTGCAAGAGGCACGCGCGTCAGGTGTTTTGCTCCGATTCGTTCAAGCAAAGCAGCAGGCGGTTCTGGTTGCACCGTCAGAATCCTGCGGTGAGTAGCAGCGCTAGCTGCTCAGTAGTAGCAGTAGCAGCTGATGTGTTGCTGTGCCGAGTGCTTGGCTGCTGCTGCTGTCGTTGTCGTTGCTGCTGTTGCATGGCTGCTTCTTGCTGCTGCTGGTGCGCTGCCGCCGCGGCGATGTGGTACTGATGGCGGTACTGTACCATTGTTGTCATCGAGCCTACTCTATGTACATGAACCAGGAAATTTTCTGGCCATGACATCAAACAGCAGCACACGTTTTCCGATGGTTGTTTGAAATACACGAGAGACCGGCAATGACTATTGCATGCTGTTGTCTTGACCAAAAAAAAAAAGGTTCTAACCTCTCTCAGTATCTTCTAACTCTTGGCGCGATCGAGTCCTGTGGTCACAGGCTAATTTTTCCGCAAAGAGGACTGCAAAGCATACGCCAGATACATTGGCTACATGCAGGTGGTTGAACATACGTTTCCTCTGATGTTTTTTTTACCCACCTTTGCAAGCCTTGTGGCGTTTGAGTGAGCAAACACATTTTTTCGAAGCCCCACGTGTTCGCTCTGTGTCTGTTGGGTGTTTCTGATTGTCCTCCTCTTCCCGCCTCGTGCTACAACACCGCTCCTCTCGATTCCTGTTGAACTGAATGTGGACAGCTCTTCGAAGGCGGAACCAGGGTGCCGTGTTATCTCTCGTGGAGAACCTTGTGTCGGACGGCACGAGTACCAGCAGCAACAGCAGCAGCAGCGACAGCGACAGCGACAGCGACAGCAGCAACAACAGCAGCAGCAACAACAGCAACAGCAACACCAACCGCAACCGCAACCGCAACCGCAACCGCAACAGAAGCAGCAGCAGCAGCAGCAGCAGCAGCAGCAGCAGCAGCAGCAGCAGCAGCAGCAGCAGCAGAAAGAACAACAATATATCAGCAGAGGGCCCCGCCAGCAAGTTTGCACGAAATGCGCCGGCGGGGGAGGCCCTCGCTTGGCTTTCCCCGGCACCACCGTCAGCATCGGCATCAGCATCAGCATCAGCATCGGCATCAACATCAACAGCACCGGCGGGACCGTCGCCATCCCCACCCCGTCCTGCTCCAGCACGGCCAGCGTCGCCGGCAGCAGAGCAGGTGTCGGTGGTCACAGCAACAGCAGCAGTAGCAAAGCCTGAGGAACCCCCATCACCTTCACGGACGGCAGCACCAGCAGCAGCACCACTCGTCTCCACCGTCAGTAGCGCGAGCACAGCTCCCGTCGTGCCTAGCGCACCAGCGGCAGCGGCAGCGGCAGCGGCAGCATCACCACCACCGGCACCACGGGGAGCACCAGCAATATCGCCAGCTCAGTCAACAACACCAGCATCAGCATCACCGCTAGCAGCAGCAGCATCGCCACGACCAGCAGCAGCGTCAGCACCAGCACCAGCGTCGTCGTTAACAACGCCGAAACCTTGGCCTTTCGAACGGGCGTCAAACACAGCAGCCATATCGAAGACATCAACGGCTAAGGCATCAAGAACAGTGACGTCGTCAGCAGAGAGGCCTCCCCCTCCTCCTCGAACTTTCGACAGACGACCTAACCTCCAAGGTGGTAAACCGTCAGCACCAGCACCGGCACCAGCAGCTACGACTGCGACGGCCGCGGCTCCGAGCTCGCCAGGAAAATCAGCACCAGCGGCACCAGCAGCGGCGGCAAAGACACCAACAAAGCAGACAACAACAAAGACCGCAGCAGCATCAACTCCAGCGGATACAGCGGCAGTGCAGCCGCCAGACATCGGAACCTGTTCGACAGCCGCTCCCGCGCCTCTAAACATCTCCGCGGTGCCCCCGCCAGCATCCCCGACTAAGGCAAGACTCTCCCCGAAAACGGCGGCGTTGGCGAGGATATTTGGGGGTGGTGGGGGTGATGGCGGCGTCGGCAACAGGGCCGGCAAGTCTAGGCAGGCGGCAGCGGCGACCCCCCCGCGCACCCCGCCACCGGCCCTGGTCCCCGACCTGAAGAAGGCCGCCTCGACTCCAACGAGCTCGAGCTCGACTCCCAGCACCGGTCCCCGAACACCTCCTGTCCTCAAGAAGTCCGCCACAGCGACCGCTGTCAGCGCAAAGGTCACCACCACGCCAACCGCGAAAAAGAATGCCCCCGGTTCCGCAACATCGACCCCGGGCACTGCTCCCCCGACGCCGCTGTCCGAGACGCCGACGTCCACCGCGCCCTCGACGGGCGGGGGGGAAGAAAAGTCTCCCGGCAGGGTGGCTTCGATCATCAAGATGTGGCAAAGGGGCGGGGCTGTGTCCCCACCGCCATCGTCGTCGCCGCCGAGAACGAGGCATCCCGGCGCCGCGAGCGGTAGTGGTAGTAGCAAGAGCACAAAGACAAGGGCCGCCCCCAGCAACGGCGCCAGTGGCGCCTCCGAAGTCGACACCTCCTCTTCCAGCACGGCGACTGCTGCTGCTGCAACCGCCAACACGACCACCGCCGCCGCCGTCGTCAGTAGGCCACCTCTCCGGTCTACCCCAAAGGCTGCGTCTAAGACGTTGGAGCCGGAATGCAACGCGGCTGGAGCACGAGTGGCGTGCCCGCTGACAGCAGCAGCAGCAGCAGCAGCAGCGAAAACGGTTACGTCCGGTGAGCAGAAGGACGCCGCCGCCGCCGCCGACGCCAGAGGGGGTAGTGCCGTCGCTTCCCCGAGCCCGATCGCTTCAACGACCACACCACAGACGGTGAACGGGGACCCTGCGGCGGCTGTCGGAGCGGCCACTGCTACGACGGCAGCAGCGGCAGCAGCAGCGGTGGCGGCATCGCCGTCATCGTCGGTAATACCAACAGCGCCCCCGGCCCCAGCGAAGGCTGCATCGTCATCGTCACCGTCATCGTCACCGTCACCGTCACCGTCACCGTCACCGTCACCGTCGTTGCCGCCGCAATCTTCACCGTCATCGTCACCGCCACCGAAGCCTTCGAGACCCAACCCTGTCGCACGCGCAACAACAACGACGACAACAACAGCAGCAGCAGCAGCAGCAGCAGCAGCAGCAGCAGCAGCAGCAACAACAACAACAGCAAAGCCGGTGGCGCGGCCAGCACCTCCCGCTCTGCCAGCACGACCGGCGGCGACGGCAGCGACGGCACCGGCGGCGAAGGCAGCGCCGGCCACTAAGGCGGCGGCAGTGGTGCATTTCGCGGCAGAGGCGTCTTCTCCGCCGACCTCCCCTTCATCCGTCACGTCTTCGTCCTCATCCTTCTCCAAGAACCCGCTCCTGCCTAACAGGCTACCCCAGGGGTCTGCTTCGCCGACGTCTTCACCGGGAGCATCGCCGTTGAGGTCACCGCAGACGTCGCCGAAGTCGGTGGTGACGAGCGCAGCGAAGAAGACCGTTGCCGCGGCCCCGGCGAAGCCGGCGAAGCCGGTCACGGTGACCACGAAGGGGGGTCTGGGGGTGACGGCGAATGGCTTGGCAACAGCAGCAGGTACTGCCACGGGGATGGGGGCGGCGAAAGGCAATTTGAAGACCACCAAAGGGGGAGTGGGGATGGCGAGGAACGGCATGCTCCGGGCGGTGTCGCCCTCCAAGCTGCCGTCCCCCGACGACTTCAGCGACCGTGACAGCTTCGACAGCAGCAGCAGCAGCAGCCACAGCAGCCGCCGCAGCAGCAGCAGCAGCCGCAGCGGTGGCGGTGGCGGCTACGGTGGAGGGGCCAGCGCGATCAAGCCGCCCACGGGCACCCCTCAGAAAGCTTCGGGCAGTATACTCAAGTCGACGGGCAGTCCGCTCAAGTCGGCTGCGATAGCCGCACTCAAACCGACCGGTACCAGCAAGCTAACGTCCTCTGCCGTCACAGGTGCTGGTGCCGGTGCCGGTGCCGGTGCTGATGTTGGGGGTGGCGGGGTTATGAAGAAGCTGTTCAAGGCAAAGGAGATCCAGGTGTTTTACGACAATGGCGGAGGCAAAGAGGAGGAAGGAATGGGAGACAGCGGAGACTGCAGTGACAACAGCGAGGGGGAGGACGAGTACTTCATGTGAGTGAGGGCTTGCCATGCATAACCCAAGAAAATACAGTATCGCAGGAAGCAAGATTCACTAGCAAGAGAGATTCGACCTTGTTTCGTGCTTGATAAAAATAAGTGTATTTCTACTGGAACGTTGCTTTGCCGTAGACCAGTGACTGGCGTCTAGCGAAAGGTTGTAGGCTAATCTCATTGCTGCCTTCATCCATACTATATCACGACGACAAGCTCTACCTGGCAGATCGGTACATGTATTTCCTCTTTGTATCGAGGGAGCGGCCGGCATGTTGGGATGTTGCGCGCTCGCTACCTCTCGACTTTAGTTTGCCGTCAGATCAAATCATGTTCGTTTATTGCACAAGCAGTTGGTACCTTGGCCTTTCGCTGATGACTCTACCACTCCCCCTCCTTTCTTGTTGCGCAGGTCTGATGAGTCGGGTTCGGACGACGAGGATAACGACCCGGCACTCAAGAAACTTGAATCGTGAGTTGTGCTCTCGAGATGTTTTTTTCTTTGCTTGCCATGCTTTTTGGTTTGGACGGACGCATGGCAAACATAAAGATAAAGATGCATAATACGACATTGCTGTTGTTGCGTACGCCCCCCCCAACAGAAGACACAGAGAGTAGAACAACCTGAAAAGCTTGCTGACTGGAACTGTTATCCCGAATAAATTAGTCTGTGCTTGGTTTCATTCGTGTTTTTTCCACCAAGAACGACTTTTCCTGTACTTGGGCCACCCGCTTCTGGTCGTCCTTGTTCAAGCACACCGAGTGTTTTTTCTTGGCCCTCGAGGGCAAGTGCATGTTGCCTACCACCTGCACACTAGTATTCATCTTCTCTGTTGGCACACTTTGGCGTGATTGGTGCCAGCAGCTAGCTCCGTACGGTGGACATGGAGGGATAAAAACCACCGTGACGCGATGCTTGCGGTGTGGGCCGGTGGATTGTATCATCGCGCTATTGTACATCTCACCTCTACGACGTTACGGCCTCACTACCAACCAAGTACCCAGCAATGGGTTCCCTTTTGTAATTGTCTTGCTTTGATTTCCTATCAACTATCCTCCTGCAAGTTATGTGAAGACGAAGATTTCGTCGGCGGCAAGTTGCCACCCGAAACGACATTTTGCAACGATAACATCATACAGCACAACGACGAAGGACTTGGAAACAACAATCAGAATTTAAGAAAGCCACCACACCAGAACACAAAAGATATGTTGTGTAGGATGTCATGCATTGCGTTCGTTGAGCAGGGTGCAGGGCATCAACGAAGAGCTTCACAAAATCGAAAGACTGTAGAGATATCGCCCCGCCTCTGTCTTTGAAAACAAACAAGATAAGAACGACGTCATATTTGAGACTTTAACGGTAGCAAGACGTGCCTGGGTCGGGTGGTGGTAACTCATCCTAGTTTTCTTTTTTCCTTTTGCTTCACCCTTATTTGTCAACATCACTCGATGCCGTGGACGTGGTAGGCAATCGAAGCACTCCGAACGCTTCGACAAGAACAATTAAACGCAGCGTTTCGTTTTTGCGTTTTTCGTCTCGAGCCCTATTCCCCCCCTTAATACCCCTGTTCTCCTTATCCTGGGAATTTTGGTCTCGTCCAGGGTAAGTAAGCCACAAACGAGTAGTGCTTCTAGCTTGGTTGCAATGTCTCGACATATTGTTAATGTTGGTACCATATACACGACCCCTCCCCTTTGTAAATTTGCAGAACCGTTGTTCCTGAGTGGGCTACGAACGAGGGCATTGCGGAGGCTTTGGAGAGGCAGTACGGCGGTGACAAGCCCATCAACCCCAACAAGATCTTCGTAGACTTCTACACGTGCAGCCTCGAGACCATTTTCGACACGAACAAGAAGAAGTGGGACCGCAAGAGCACGTGAGTCAGTCACGGTCACAGTGCACGCCTTCTTACATTTTCTTTTGACGTACGATTGCACGCGTAGAATACCATGGTGTTATCGTTGTACCGTAGGTGGCATGCAGCAAGATATCACACCCCCTGGACCGATTTTTAAAGCTTGTTAACTCGGCTGGGAAAGCAGTGGCGGTGCCGAAAATGGCGGGGTTGGAATCGTCCCTTCGAGAGCTCTCCGAACACGTATCGTTTGCCTTCGGCATCCTCTTGGTCGTAGAGAAGTCGAGCTATGAAAATCGATCCAGGGGGCGTGGTATCTCATGCAACCTACGGTAGTCAGGTGAAGGATTGGTCCATTGCGAACACGAGGAGCGCGAAACTTCTCGAGGTGGTTCGGAACTTCAAAAGACCGGCAGTAATTGGCAAGCATGGCTGATTCGCGGAAGGTATCCAAAAGCTCATCGATTGCCAGCATCAATAAATCCCAGTTGCTTTGAATCACACACCCTTCTCACGTTTGGAAACAAAGGTGTTTGTGCGTGTACGCGAACGTTATTAGAAATCGTCGATCGCGCTGTCCGGCTGTTGAGTAGTGCAAAGAGCATCAGTGCCAGAGGGAAAAATCAAGGTCCCTGCAAGGGGGTCGAAATTCGAAAAATGCGCAACGAGCTGGAACCGAATGCCAAGGCAAGTGTGTGGTGTGAGTGACTAATGTTGTTTGGACGTCAGCTAGTTTGTGCTATGATACGCCTCTGTGTGCGTTTCCAAACACCAGCCGGGGTCTAACATGCCGACTTCCACATTTTCGCTCCGTTTCGCTTCACCCACGTGTTCTTGTACATGCTGTGCTTGTTTCTCAGGGGCGACTGGATGTCGGACAGGCTGACGATCGCCGAGAAGCTGGCGTACGACAGGGCCATGGGATACGTCACCATCAACACCAAGGGCAGCGGAGACAGGAGGAGGAGCTCTAGGAGGAGCTCCAGGAGGGGGTCCAAGAAGGGCTCTTCGTCTTCTCAGGGCAGCAGCACCAGCAGCTTGAACAATTCCCACAGGAACGAGTAGCGAGCGAGCGAGCAGCCTTGCTTGTCGTACCGATTGCACCCTTTATCGGCTGTCTTTTTATCGCGGCTTGCTGACGATGCTTGCGTGTATTGTAGTCATCAGCAGTAGGGGACTGTACCCTCTTTTAGCTATTTCGGGATTTACGTATTTTCCCTTTTGTGGCTGCTTTCTGGCGACAGAATTGCCGGCCACTAGCAGCTGAAGCAAGGCATCTGTAGTGTAGGAAAGCTAGCTCCAGGACAACGGAGCTCGCGCAACGTTCACATTCTTTGGAACGGTTCCTGTTGGATTAGGGTAGTGCATTAGGTCGTGTTTTTTCTCAACTACTTATTGTCCGCGTTCCCCTCGTGGAGGGGGGGGGCAAGTGAATATTGTTGTTGGCGGATATTTTTGAAAATGTTCCCCCGTGTTTCATTCGAATCTTTTTCTAAGAACCCGCCGTATGGGCAAAGGGAGGGCGGAAGGAAGGGTTTGTTGGGCAGGGCGGGGGGGCCTCAAATTGTACATGTTTTTTCTCCTTCCTCCGACTAGTGTTTCGGCCACTTTCTTTTGTCCGTCGGGCAAATGAGTTTCGTTTCCTGCCGTGACAGATAGATTCATTCTGATACAAAAAAACTGCCCGTGGTGTGCAGGTAGACATATTAGCATAGGTATTTTCGTTTCGATCGAACAAGAAAAAGCAACACGCGAGCATGTACGTAGGTGTTGTTTTGAGAGCTTGCGGCTGTGAGCAATATCTCACAGGTCGCAGCTGAAACCAAGCCAAGGTTTCACTTAGTAGGCTAGATCTTTGTCTGCAACATGGTGATAAAGACATGCTCTCTGGCGTGTGTCATTGCCACACAGCAGGAGGAGAGCGATGCGCAGTGAATGAATGATTAGTCGGGCAGTATAGCCGCATCAGTACTTGTTGCTTCTATTGCGGACCAAGGTACAACTGTCCAGCGCTGGCTCTAACTATTTGGTTTGCCATTCCTTTCTTTTCGGGTTCACGATGACCTTGCCGAGGCCCGGGCGTGGACATGGGTTGCACTTTCTTGGCATTTCGATGTTGGTCTCAATCGTTTGTTCCCTGCAGCCACTCCGACGAAGCTCGCGTACAGCGATGAATTGGATGAATTTACACGGAAACACACAAGAGACGGTGCAGGCAGCGGTTTTGCATTTATCCATTCATTCTTTCGTTCTTAGCAGTCGAACTTCCCTCATGAGTTGAATGGGTGCACGCACCATCATATCCCTGTCCGAAGCCCTAGACTGGCAGACATCAGATACTTATTTTTTGTTTTTCCTTGCACGTTCCGAAAACGACCTTGTGCGCCCCCAGCTTCGTCTGGAAGCACCGAGCCCCTCTTGGCGTTGCGGGGGAAGATGCAACTTCATGTGTATCCTCTCAACTTCATATTTTCTTCCTTGGAAGAAGGGACTTTCTTGTGGTTGTTCTTGCACAGGGAGGGACGAGGATAGGTCAACCCTGTGTTGTGAGGTAGGTCCTTTGTACACGACGCGTCAGTGAACCATGTAGACTACTACATGTATGGGTGTTGTCGAATGTAGGAGAAGAGGGAGGGTATGTTGGCGCCCAGAATCGATGGAACGAAACGAAAGACAAGTCCAGACAAGGCACGAGGTTCAATGACACTGCCCGCCTGCCGCGTTGACACGTATGACGTGTTAACGTGTTGGCATGACGTACTTCCCCTTGGGGTGGTGACAATCGTGCACTGTAGACCGATCCGGCAACATCCCTGCCGGGTGCGTAACGGTCGAGGCACAATTGATAGGAGAACTATCTCATCGCCAATTGATCGTGGTTGTAATCGCATCGTCGTTGATTTTCAATCCCGAAACCTTTGAAATGCATGAGACTCAAGTGTGAGCACCCACCCCCGCCCGAACCTTCTTTGTGTACCACAAAACAACTCCAATCAAAGCACATCCATTCGTTCGTTGCCAGCACCAGCGATACTACACATACATATTTGGTACTTCCGGCCATTGCCGCCGGCCGGCTATGAAGGACATTGCATATTGTACAAGACCGTAAAAAAAAAAAACATCAAGATTCCAACCGATGTGCACATTGGACCCTTTTCTTGAATCTACCAGATATACATACCACGCGAACAAACAGAGCTCCAACCACTGACTGCGCGATTTGCCTCCCGACAACACAAGGCTCGATGAGACCTGTCGCGAGAAACATCGAAAACGAAAAAATTGATCCAACCCCCAAAAGTATTGGGCCGCTAGCATGAAGAGCACACGCTGCTGATCAAGGCTCCAGCTTCCCCACCGTAAAATATACCCTACCTACTATACAGTCCCAAAGCACTCGTGCAAACGAATACATGCGAAGAATCGGACGACCCCCCCCCTGCCCCCCAAAACATCAAAAACAAGGGCGAAGTCAACACCGAAATACCCATCACCAGCCCAGAACATGCCTCTAGACGAATAGGTACGTAAGAAGCTTGGGCCGACAACCCCCCCGCTATATCAACAACGAGGTCGCAGTCGACGACGAAGCAAAAAATATACCCACCACCAACTCTCCGCCCACCCTTTCCTCATCGCATCAAAAACAAGCACGAAGCCAACAACGAAATGTAACACACAGAACGCGCCTATGCACAAACATAATTGAAGAACTTGAGCACATTTGTGTGCTCGGTGAAGAACCCCTTCACAAAAACCTATATAGCGGCCATTCGTATTATGACCCTAGAATATGGTAACAACCGCAGCTTCGGCTGAAACTATAAGTAGAGCTTCTCAAGTGGTGGCGCATTCTGTAGTCTACACAAGAACAATAGTATCCGTGCACACAATAACAATCGGTCAACACGTCGAAGATGACTACAGCAGTAGTAGATTCTATTCAACAAAGCCCAGATGGGGCAAAAACAAGTTCAATGTATGTATCCGTATAGTACAGGCAGACAGACATGGTCATTGCGGTTGGAAAATCGGTGACCTCCTGGCGTACGTCAGCTTCTTCTATGCACATGAAAGTTAAGGAAGGTAGGCTGCAAGTGTCTACGGTTATGGTTCCTTTTCACAGCGAAACTTGTCAATCGTTCATAGCCAACACAGCAACGAAACAATTCTGCACGACTACACTGCGGCCTGGTTCCATCAATCTCCCTTTGCTCCAGCCGAATCTCAAGAAGAAAGTCGACTGCCATCAGCATTTACATATATATATATATACCGCGAAAAATGAACAATGTAAAAAAATAATAGCCAATTCCACACGCTAAGAATCTCCTCTGCACGTGTACAATAATACCCATGCCATGAGCTGGACTCAGCCTTCCTCGGCAAAATGAAACTTCCTCTCCTCCGTGCGGACGAAAGCGGTTCGCCTTCCCGAGACATCCACGGGTCCCTCTTCTTCCTCTCCCTTGCCATCCAGCGCGGTACACGGAGTTCCAACAACCACCGCGGGGGCAGGCCACCACTCCGCGGGGGCAACGGCGCCGAAGAAGTGCTCGTAAGAGCCGACCGTGTTCTCGTACAGCATGGGCTGCGAGGCGTCGACCTCCCTGTGCAGTACCCCGCACTCTAGCCCCTCCCCCCCGAACGTGTGCTCGCAGAACGCGACGTACGCCCTGAGTTGATGTTCGGGTGTTGTTGAGGTTCACCAAGGAGAACACGTATGACATGACAGAGGCCGAACAAGGGAAGGGGGGGTCTTTGAGTGCTGGCTCCGCCACCCCAGTTGATGTGGGTTTTGGTTTGGTGGCAAGAGCGCCTCCATTTCTTTTCTCGTCCAGGGTGGCGTGGAAATATAAAAGGGGTGGTGGGGGATGATGCTGTGCTAGGAGCATTGCAACAAGTAGTGGAGGGGCTGCATGTGGTTGTTCCCTGCATCTTCAAGGCAGGGAACAAAAAAGGGAGGGCGTCTCTTGCACACCCCTTTTCGGATAGTGGACGGGGGGGGGAGTCGATGCATGTCTCTTGCAACCACGGGTTGGAGTAAAGGACGCAAGTGCCGTGAGCGCTCATTTGAAGTAACGACAAAACCAAAAAAAAAACGCAAGACTATAATTGGGTCGTCACATCCTTGATCAATTTCGGCGCTGTAGCACGCCTGCAACCGCTATTCGATTGCCACACTTGACGCCAGTACAACACAACGTACAAGAATGACCGTCGTGAGGCAAGGTCGGAATTATATGTTTGTGCATCGTACTATCGTACTGGCCACCGATTTGTTTTACCGCGGAACACACCTGTCCAACGTGATGTGAGCCTGCCAGACAACGTCCACCAGAGGAGAAGGGTCGAGAGTGAGCATACCCCCGAGCCTCTTCCGAAGAAACATGAACCGGAGGTATTCCTCAACCAGGGCGGGGATGTCCGTGGATTGCCGACCGACCTGAGGTACCAGTGGCAAGAGGTACAAAATAATTTTGAGGCGGGTGCTGAAATAAACATTCGACCACTTGCGCTAGATGAACGCGCCCATTCGTTTGCAAAAGGGAGTCGGGATAACATGTTCTGCAGAGCGCGGGCACCAATGGTAACAAGCAGCAGCGAAGTGCCGGCGTAGTATACGGATGCACGTGTCTACCTTTGAGAGATCAAATCAGTCCTCTCGTTCTCCCATTTCGGACGCACGCCCTCAACAGAACGATTACACGGCAGATGTACATACGGGCATGGGGGCTTCGTCGAAGCGACGGGTTCGGCGTTGTAGGTGGGCAGGCAAGAATCCTCGTTCGACACGTGGATCTCGATACTGCAGCGTCAAGTCTTTCAGAATAACTTACATTGCAAGACTAGACACCGGCCGACGTCTTTCCGGCGTAGGATGCCGTTTGGGCAGATGACGCAAAAGGTATGATCTCGAACGGGAAGTCTTTTGTCGTAATAGTCTACATGATGGAGAACTGGTGCTGCCCCGAAAATGAGAAAACATGAACCTCTTTTTTTTTCACATGCGTAGGGATGCTACAGTATGATGGAGTAGCTGTGGCCACGAGGCAAAGCTCCGCCCGTGTCGGAGGTGTTGGTTGGTACATACATCAACATGCGTTATAGGAAGGTAGAGCTGGATGGAGTACAAGTAGTAGCAAAAAAGTGGCGAGATCTGACAACTCTGCGCATGACTCAAGAAAACAACAAGCGCGGAGACTGCTGTGGTGCTGGTCCCTGTGCATACTGCTGTACTCTATCACTGCGGTTAATTCGCTTACCTCCAGTAACCTGAGCTCCACGTTGCGGTACAGCAGCTCCCGCTCGGCGTCCATCAGCTTCGGCAGCACAACAGGATCGTACTCGGTTGGCCTCTGCAGTCTTGGCTCGCTGGCAGCCTCGTCCTCGAGCAACCACCTCCAGGCCATGTAACACTTGCGGTCGCCACCGCTGCTGCGGCCGCCAGGTCGAAGCGAGGTCGGCAAGGGTTCCTCTCGTCCGTCCTCGGATAATGCGACTGTGGCAGTGGTAGAGGAAGAGGAGGAGGACTCGTCCAGCTTATCACCGTCAGCTCCAGTGTCGGTTTCGGTGTTCGGGTTTCCTCGCGTCCAGCGGGGCTTTGGCGAGATGTGGCCGTCGGTGCTGGTGTGGCTCTCAAGCAAGAGCTTGGTGGTGTTCGGCGAAGGCTCGTCGTCGTCACTCGAGGACATCGATGAAACAAGTGCGGCGGGAGCCGGCTTGTTCGGTTCTGCGTTTTCGCACGTGGGAGGGACGCCCTTCGACCAACGCGGCTTGGGAGAGACGCTGCTGTCGGTGCTGCTTGTGCGGGTTTGAAGCAGGAGCGCAGTGGCGTTCATCGGCGTTTCTTCGATCATGTTGACGATCTCTCTCTTGCACTGCTGTGTTTGATTGCGTGCACTGCTCGCTGGAGAAGATGATAGAGTGCTGAGAAGAGAGATGAGCGAAAGACTTGGGAAAGAGGAGAGAGTGAGAGGCAGCAGTGAGTGCAAAAGGGCTTGCGAGGCGGGACACCTGTCTGCTTGGATTGTAGAGCCGAAGATCGAACGTGAAGCAAGAACGCAAGTTGTAGGAAATTCTCATTTGTATTCTAATTGTCGGAACACCCTCGTGCAACGATGAACGGCAACAGTCTGTCGTCGGGACAAGCACTCATGACTGATGAGGTGGTTTCCACGAAGGCGTGGGCGTGCAGGAAGGGGCACAGTACCCAGGCAAGGGAGGAAAATAACTACCAGGCAACGGTTTGCAGTTGAGCAGTCGGGCAGCGAAGAAGCAGGATCACCCCGAACATCTGGTCCGGTGGTGGTCAGCTCCCACAGTACCATCTCCGATATCTCCCAGTCTGTCGCGCGCGCGCCACCACTGTCAAGAACATTCCACAGCAAGATTTTTTTTTTTTGTCCAAGAGAACATCAACAACGAACTATTGCTTCAATCACGCGCGGCATTCCAACCGACGGACACGCTGCCTGCTGCTGCACACCCAGCCCCGGGTTGGTCACCATCTGCCATACTGGTGAGTCTTCTGCGCCATTTCGTGCCATGGCTCGCTATGCTTCTGCAACTCGTTTGGGGACGACACGGCCCTCTTCGCCTCCACCCCATTTTGCCCTTGTAGCCTCCAGACTACACTGACGACCGAAGTGGACGAGTGGGACAGCTTGTTTACGGCGACGTCCGCGTGGTCAGCCTTTACTCCGCAGCTAATGACGTGCCGTAGGCAAGGGTGTTTGTTGGCTTGGTTGGGTGTTTTACTTCCCAAGTGCGTGACGTGGTGATGCCTTGTTGGTATCGGTGTTGGTATTGGCGTGCGGACAAATCCACCTCCCCCTTGCGTCGTCTTTCTGAACGCCTCATCTCTTGGTCTTGGTCTCGGCCTCTGCTCTGGGTCCAGGTGCTGTGTACTACTGCTGTACATGTACGCTGTACATGTTGTCTTCACATTAAAAAAACCATCCCGGTCTCTATCCAGTACCTCCTTCTGTCTCAATCTCTCCGTACTAATCTCGCACTTGACTCGGTCAATTTCCGTGGTCCCAGGCTAACGTACCTAAAAAAGGTATACCAAAATAAAATGGACCCCAAGGGTTAGCAGAGCGATAAAATAAAATAGACCCCAAGGGTTAGCAGAGCGATAAAATACAAGAAAACAAAAGAATCAGAAACAAATAAACATGTACGGGTGAGCAAATAGCGGTGGCATGTAGATCGAGTACATACCGTTTCTCCTTTTGTCCGTTGCGCTCTACAGTAGTCAGATGTTATTGCAAAAGACGTGTCAGCGGCTTTTTCCTTTCAAGCAAGTTCAAGTGTACCTCTGTACGTCCCATCCGCTGCCAGAATTACAAGTACAAGTCTGCTGGACCACGTCTTTGTGACTCTGGCTACAGTCGACCCCGGTTTAAGGACGCTCGCGTTAAGGAAGTTCCCCTCTTAAAGGAAACTTGTTTGGCTGAGCACCGGGGGCCCGGTAGAATATACGATAATGGGGTAACCCCATTTTCCGCCGTGTACCCCCCTTTTTTGTGTCCTGCGGGCCTGCGGGCCGCTCTTTGCACGAACCACGGCACCACAGTGAGTGCAGAAGTAGCGACGCACAGGCAGCAGAAGTAGCGAGCGGTCTGCTGCTGCAGCTGCAACTGGGCGTTGGTATAGATAGATTCCTCCCATGTACCGGCGGTCCATCTGATGCCGCCAAAATAAGAGTTGTGCACAACCTCGTCCCTCACCGAGGGCGAGGTTATCTCTCGCGTGGAGGACGTTCGATCCTACAGATAGCGCCCGCAGTTAAGAAACGTCAAAATCGGTTCGAGCCTCACCAATCCCTTCTTTTGGGTCGAAGTACCGGCCCAAGTCGTCCATTTCGTAAATGGCATTTCTTCTTCCTTTGGACTGTCGCATTCTCCCGATTCTCTTATTCCTTAGACTGCAACAAGTACTTCGTATTTTCTTTTGTCTGTCTTTTGATCTCTGAGGACAATCCACATCATCAAGCCCTCAAGAGAGGTGGTGCAGAGTGCCATCAAACCCGTACAACAGCGGAGAGCATATGGTTGTCCGCGATGTGTGAACAGCAGTGGCGCGGTNGGAGGTTCAGGGAACTCTTCGCGATATGTGGAAGGAAAAGCCATCAGGGTAGCTTTTGGTCTCCGCCGGGACAGTGATGTGTAGTGGTGTTCCTCGGTGCGACGCTGAAATACGCTCGTTTTTTTTTTGTTTCACAAGAATGAGATAAATATATGTCTACTTGGACTTCCTCCTTCTTCCGCTGCCGACCATGCAGTACGTTAGTTGGCCAAGTACAAACTGGTGTACTGTAGTTGTTTTCAACACGTCCCTGACTGCTGTACATCTCATTTCAAGTATTGTAAATATGTTCGACGTGACCAAACGGTTGCCAGTCGTCTCGGCGATGCTGACTTTTCGTTCCACCCTCTTCCTTAGCAAAACACGCGTAGTTTGAGGTATAGCATGCCTCCATTGGCCCCGGGGATGGTGAGCTATCGTCCCCTGAAGTTTAAGGACGCAACCCCACTTCAAGGACGCTTTTTTCAGGAAGAACCATGTGCGTCCCTAAAGCGGGGTCGACGTACTTTTGACTGAAAAATTAGAACATGAAGCCTGTTCTATTTTTTTCGTGTCTAGAGTTGCTCTTATCTGCCCTACTCAGCAAAGAGTCGTAGTGCGTTCCGCATGGAGTTCGCAGCAGTAGGATGCATACAGCAGTAGTGGTGGATTGTGGATTGTGGATTGCCTATCCACCGGTTTGACTACTGTACGGTTAGAACGCCTTGCGAACCATCACCACACAATAGGGCCACACTACACGCCTCGATATGGCACTTTGTTGTTGGTAGATATCTCAACGCATAGAGCTTGAACCCTAGGTGCCACTTCGAGGGTGCCAGCTGTAGGTGCGAGACACAAGGATTGTGCATGTGACAGTAGCCGAACCGCTGTCGTCAATTGATGTCAGGCCCCAAACATCTCTCCACTCTGTGTCGCTATCGTTATCTCTTTTTGTTTTTTCCTTCCCCCCTGGGGCTACGCGGAGGTGCCTTCATTGTTGACGGTGGTGGGCTGTAGTGGTGGCGGTGCCGGAAAACG